GTTGAAAATCTCAAGGGTAATTTTAAGAACAAAATATAGGCTAAGTGGTTAGGTTGAACCAAGATAAATCAATTATGTCAAAGCTTTTTCTCCCATGAATCCCTTATAATTTATAGATTTCATCTTCCTTTCATTTCTGTACTTACTTGAGTCAATAAGTCTAAAAAAGTCCATTAAGACCTAATTCACCCATCTCTTAGGTGCCATCCTTATTCAACAATATAATGTTAGGATATATAGTTATTAAAAACTACTAAATATATATATATATATATATATAAAATAACTGTTATATATATATATTTTGTAATAATGGCTTTCGGGTCTACTAGTTACCTTCAAGGCTTAGTTTTGTTCAAACCACTGACTTTAGTTGCTCTCACATGTAGTCACTTCTTCTACCTAATGATGATTAACTTGATATTTTTTGTGAAGTTTCTATGAAAAAAACTCCAATGATCACCTAGAGTGCACAGAGGGCTTTTAAATTTTCTAGCAGCCACTTAAAAGCTTGTAAAGTTGATTTGCTTTTTCTTTTTGCCTTACAAGATTGTTTCTTGGTTAGTTGGACTATGTTTTATTCAGCACCATCTCTTTTCTTCCTTCATTACTATGGCAATGAAGGGCCTTCAATTCCTTCGAGAAATCTTCACTTGCTTCATACTCTTCTTCGACTCCTTGAAGAGTTGAAATGCATAGAGGTTGAGGAGCAACTTTTCTTCCAAATTAACTAATGCAAGAAGGCTTCCAAGAAGTGATCGTATAACATCCTAGGTTTTTAAATCTTGAAATTTCAAGTGTTTAGAAGGGTAAATTGGTAAATTTAAGTGAATTTTTAATTAATGATGTTTTTAAAATACTAATGTAGTTATTATATCATTAGACAGCCTTACGTAGGTATGCCTAGATGCTATCTAAGCAAGTTTATGTTATGATGTGTAACTTGTTCCACTTGTATGAAATGTGAATTTATTATGAATATATCACATATGTGTAAACCTTGACCAAACGGTGAGGCTTGGCATCATTTATATGAGTCAAATATGTTTATGATTCCCAACCATATGGTGAGAATAAGCTCTATATATGGAAGTTGGATAGTTAAAAGTGGAACAAGTTTTTGTGTGTATGTAACTGCATGTGTTGTGTCTTATATAAATCCACAACTGTGTAATGTGGCGTTGATAGGTCAAAATAAGTATTTACTATTATACAAGGATTATAATGTGTCAATCAGGTGTGTATTGTTCTTTTAGACTTGGTTTAAAGCTCAAAGTGGTCTAATAGGATAAGGAATGAGAATTAAAGAATGCTTCGGGTGTGATTTTTGAAAGAAAAAGTGACTTTTTGCACTCGACTGTTTAATTTTAAATTAGATCATTAGATCATGTCCAAACTTATTTTATTAGATAGAATATGTTACAAGTTTTATGTGAGCGCTTTGTAACCCTCCCCTATATCCCCTCGATATAGGCAGAAGATTAATTTAATCACCATATATCAAGCTAAACTATAAACGACTATTTTGTTTAAAAAGCTTGAGTTCAAGACTTATTCTGCAAAATCATCAAAATCATAACACATTAGACCAATATGCAGCAGAAACAAATCATATACATTTATATAAACTATTGCATGCCCTTAAAATAAAGAATTAAGATCAGATTAAGGGATATGTGTCACGACGAGCAGCACATACGCTGCGGCATGTGGCACAAAACCACACGCTCTCATCTTCTCTGTGATATGTGTTGTAACATCCTAAATTTCTTAATCTTAAGTTTAAAGGTTAATCAAGGGTAGAGTGGAAATTAAAGTGGGATTAGAGATTCAAATAATTAATTAGTATTTTGACTTGTTTGGGTGTTGTATGAGTAAATATGGGTGAATAGAGTGCGTTTCAGGTTGAAGCAAGTACATGTGGTGAGAATAAGTCTCACTGTGCTACGTGTATCGTGGCGCATGGACTAGAAATTTACTTTATAAGTCGTGAAATTTCAAAAATTTTAGAGGAGAGAATTTGAGAAACACACAAGATAGAGAGAGGAGAAGGGCTTAGGAGCTAAGTTAAGTCATTTTAGAGCGATGGAAGGTGATTTGAATCAGTAACTTGACAGGTAAGCTATGTGTAACTCTTACCTTTCATTCTACACAAATTTCTTTGAAAATGAGTTATAGGAAAATTAAATTGGTGTAATTTGAGGGGTTTGATTCTTGTCCAATAGTAATAAAAAGGTTCTCTGAAGTTAAATTAGAGCTTTTGTGACTGATTTAGAGTTGAACGATAGAGCTTTGAACTTAGAAGCTTAATTTTAGCCTTTGGATAGAGAAAGTTAGGGCAAAACTCTATCTTGAGTGAAATAAGATTTATTGAGGTGATGTAAAGTAGTAATTGGGTAGTTATAAACTTAGAATGGATAAATGGAAAAGAGTTTATGGATGAATATAGCCCTAAATAGTAAAAATGAGTTTTTGGTCAAAATGGACCAAATGACTAAAATGTGCCAAATGTGTTCAGATTGGTATATTGGGTGCGTGAGTAGAGAAAGGAAGCTTGAGATAAGCTTGTGTGATAGTGAAAATCTATGAGTAATCTTTCTACAAATAGAAGGGTTGAGGTAACTAGATAACTTCCTTTGTTTGACTATTTATTGTAGCTATATGTTAGTATGCTATGTAATACATGAAATGGTTCTGAATTAAGCATATTTTATAGCATTGAGTGATTGTTGTGTGTGAAATGACTTTTGATTGAAAGAACCATGGAAATGTGTTTTGTAATGAAAAGTATTATATGTTATGTATAAGAAAGTGTTAAATGATAAAAGGGAACCTTAAATGGTTCAAGAAAGCATGGTCTAAGAGGTGAGAGTTCACCTGAGTAATCGAAGACGATAAAGACCATATGGTAAGATTTCCTTAGTATCCTGATAAGGTTTGGTGTTGGAAACGATTCTCCATAGTGCCTTGAAAGGTGCGGTGTTGGAGAAGATTTCCTTAGTGCCTATTAAGGTACTGTATTGGAGATGAGAGACTCCTTACTATTTTTACGATACGGGTTGGAGTCAATGACGCCCCATTATATCAGGGGAAAATCATAGTCCGTATTGTGCGTTAGAACATCTTTGGCTGAGTGTTTCTACCACTATAAGTAAGCTCAAGACTAATGAAAGTGTACATTAGTCTAAGATGAGCCTATGGTTTTGTGTCGGGGTGATTTGGAAGTTTGGTTGGTAGAGATCATGCCAGTATTTTATGTGATATGATAAAATATCTTGAGACAATATGGAATCCTTTAGGATTGATGAAAAGTCGAAAATGAAATGAGATATGTGATGTAAATATTACTTTATGAGATTTTAATGATATACTATGTTTATTTTCATATTGTTGCATGTGATAATCAATAGGAATGAGTTATTCTATTACTGAAATTTTTATCTCACCCCTGTGGTTACATGTTTACAGGACCAAGAAGTGATCAGGCCAAGAGAAGAGAGTTTGGACCGGCTTGAGTTGTGAAGCCGTGTACTCTGAGGTTGTGTAATGAATTAAACTAAAATATTTTATATATAAGTGTATATGAGTTTCCATAGGGTTGCATGCATGTATTGGACTGAGTTTTTATGAAATCAAGTTGGATTATGTGTGTATGTGTTGTTTGAAAAAAAAAGGGCTTTGATTTGGGTATGTTTGTGTTAAATTGGTTGTTTGTGTTGGTGAATCTTAAGCCAAATGACAAATTATGATGAAATGAGTAATTTGGGGGCTAAGATTGTATTGTGAATATGATTATATATTTATGAATTGAGAAATAGCCAAGTGGGCCAAGTTATGCCAAGAAATGGCATAGTATGTTAAGTTAGTGAATTGTGAAAATTGGTCGTAGAAGGGTTAGCTTTCAATATATGAGTACGATTGTGATTAATTGTGGTCAATCAAGTATATTAAATCCTTTTGGACTTGGTTGAAGGCCTAGTATGATCTAATGAGAGTAAGGGATCGATTTGAACGCTTGAGTGCGCAAAATTTTCAAAAAAAGTAACTTTTTGCACCTGAGTGTCAAAATTTTGATCAGATTGTTATATCGTGTCCAAACCTATCTCGTTAGTTAGTATATGAGCTAAGCTTTATGTGGGAACTTGAATCACTCTGATTGGATGTTGTATGAGAAATTGGCACACACCAAAAAGTTCGTCATTTTTGCTGTAAAAATGACAGCAGAAATCTGGACAAGCGTGCCGTGCCGTATGGTGACACATGCTGCGACACACAACACAGATAGGACGAGTGTGTGGCTCTATGCCACATGCCACAGTGCATTGACCGTTTGCCACGATGCACAGACTAAAATTTAGTTTTATTTGTGTGCCGAATGGCATGTAATTTGAGATAGGAATGCTGGTGGATTATGTCCACTATGTAATTGAGTAGTGTATGATTTATTTTCGCTGTGTTCTTCTCTAATTGTGTTGTGAACTAATCAATTTTATAAAACAAGTCTTTAGCTAAATCTTTTAAAATAAAATTTGATTATTGTGAATGATGTGAGATAATGGTAACACCGTAATCTTCTTCTATATTGAGTAGATATAAAAGGAGGTTACATGTGCTGCAGTGTACATTCTAAATTTTGCAACTTTCATTTGACAGCACAAATGACAAACTTGTGGCATTCGTCATTTTCACATATGACGTTTGATCAGAGTGATACAAGCGCACACACAAAGCTTAGCTTATAAGCTAACTAATGGGACAAATCTAATGGTCAAATCAAAATTTAGACTCTCGAGTGCCAAAAGTCACTTTTTATAAAAAGTTAGCACACTCATGCACTCAAATTGATCCTGTAATCTCATTAGACCATTTTAGGCTTTGAACCAAGTCCAAAAAGACCTATTACATCTAATTTTCCACAATATATCACATATATACACATGTATCAAAATTTTGCTATTCAACACCCATTTCCACAAAATACAAACATTTGACAACTTGGCCAAAAACTTTTCTTTGGCCATTTTTACCACAATGTTACCACAAATCACCACTTTACATATTCACAACGTATATATATAACTAAATTTTAGCCCTTGTTAATTATTTCACCACATTCTTACATATATAGGCTAAGATACATAAAATCACAACTTTCCCACAATTTACAATTCAAAGCATGCATGCATGTCTTATGGCAACTTATATATACTACATCATATTAAGGTAATTCATTACACCAACTCATGAGTTTCCATAGCCACAGCACCATTATGCCAGTCCAGACTCTTTTGTCTTGTCCGACTTACTGCTTTGTCCTATAAAAATTTAACATGGGGCGAAATAATAATCTCAGTAACAAAGTAACTCTCTACTATCAACTATCACATGCAACTATATGAAAGTGTAGCATAATATATAATTGAACATAGCATATAATATATGTTTCACTTCAAATCTCATCAATATATAACATTTTACCACTTTTAAATTATATTCAACACAATTCACTGCTTTTTACTACTTTTTTAGCATATAGTATGATCACTCCTGATTGAACCTCTAAATTGCCCCGACTTGAAATTATAGGCTCACCTTAGACTAATATACACACTTATTGGTCCTGAGCTCACCTTCATTGGTAGAATCACCTTGCCAAAGGTGCTCTATCTCACTTCTGAACTATGGTTTTCACTAATATACACAAAGGGGTGTTGTTGACTTCAACACTGCATCATATTAATACTAAGGAGTCTAAATCTCTAACATCACACCTTAATAAATACTAAGGAGATAATCTCTAATACCATACCTTGATAGATACTAAAGAAATATAATTCTCCAACACTGTACCCGCTGGGCACTAAGGAGAATAATTCCATATGGTCTTTTTCTAAATCTCCATACTACGGGTAAACTCTCACCCCTATGATCATACTTTCTTAACCAATTATAGGTTCCCAATTACTATTATACACATATGTCTATATATATGCATACGTATATAAAACTACATAATTCTACTTCTTTATCTATCCAAAGTTTATTTTCATGCCATAATCATGCAATAACACAAAAAATGCTCATTCTAAAGTAGTTTCATGTAGTATACTTACATACAATTACAACAAATAGCCAAACAAATGAAGTTATTTGGTTACCTCAATTCTTTTATCACTAGAAAGGTTACCCATAGATTCTCTCAACCACTAAGTTGTCTCTACAAGCCCCCTTTTCTAAACTTACTCACAAAATATGCCAATCTACAAACAATTGACATTATTAGTCAATTGACTTAATTGACCAAAACTACTAAATGTTGATTAAAGTTACATTTAGTCATTCATTCTTTTCACTTAGCCAATCTAAGTTCATTACCATTCAATTACTACTTTACATTACTTCAAATGATCCCATTTCATTTAAACACCATTTCCACCCCTATTTCCATTGAATTAGGGCCAAAATTGATCTTATGGATTTAAAGCTCTATCATTCAACTTTAAATTAGTCACAAAGCTCTAATTTAACTCTCAAGAATGTTTTTATTACTATAGGGTAAGAAACAAACCCTTTAAATTTCCCTAATTCAATTTTTTTGTAACTCATATTAAGAGAAATTATATAGCATTGGAGGTAAGGATTGTACGAAGCTTACATGATAAGTTACTGATCGAAAGTTCCTTCCAAGCTCCTAATTTATCTTGCCCTAGTAGACTTTGATCTCTTCTCTTCTCCTTCTTATGTTTACTCCCTTTTTCCTCTCTGAATATCGATCCAAATCACAACTTAAGAGTTTATTTTCTAGATCACATGCCATAATGCATGATACGGTGAGGAGAATCCTCACCCCAACACATGCTTTGCTTTAAGACCAGTTCTTCCACCTATATCTATCCATTTAACTTCCCAATAAGTCAACTCATTAAGCAATCATCCAAACCTCTAATCATTTACTAATTATTGATTTACCCCTAATTAATAGCTAATTATAGGATTATGAAGTTAGGATGTTACACGCTTGAATCATTCCAATTGGACATTAGATGTAGAATTGGCGCGCAGTAAAAGTTCACTCTTGTGAATTGTGATTTGACAGCAAAATTGTTGTCATATGCACTACAGTGCATTATGTGTGTTATGCCGCAATGCATGGCATAGAGAAGGGAGCTCGTGGCACTGTACCACATGCTGCGACCTATGGTGGTACATGTTATAGTGCATGGCACGTTTTTTGAAAAAATAATTGTGTTTCTTTAAGTCATGAATTTACTTTTACATTTTCATTAGCCTTTTTATTTGAACATACTTTCTCTGAAGTCAGGATCCCATGTTTTGAAAATAAATTAAGGGCTACTTCTATGATATTGTGTTGTTATTATATGGTAATATATATTTGTGGATTGGTAAAGTCTGGATTATTTGAGGGACTTTATTATTTAGTATCAATTTTCTTTGGTTTTAGTCTCTTTGTGCATTACATCCCCATTAGTTGGCAACTTTTATACATTCATTATTATCTTTATGGCCTCTTATTACCTATTAACTTTTCTTTTTTGACTTTACTCCTTAGGAGGAAAGAAAGGCATGTAAAGATACAGTTGCACTATAGTAGCTATGAAGGGGCGTGGTAGAACTCCATGGTGCACATAGGGTCAAAATGCCTAAGATGCATAAAGTTTAGAAGTACCCTCAAAAAAATACTAAGGGAATGACCTAATAATGGTATGGATGCTAGAAGTGATGCTAGACATTTAAGGAAGTCTAGCTGGCTGTGATGCCTTAAGCCATAATAGGAATCATGAAGAGCTAAGGCTAAAACAAGAAATGAGGCCTGAGATTAAAGTGAGGGTAGAACCTAAGTAGCTACCTAAGATGCAGTTGAGTAGGCCAACGATCTCCTATGCTTCAAGGAGCAAGCTAATAATTGGTAAGGAAGATCAGGAGATTCCTATGGATTAAGTCTGAAGGACTTTCTCATGGTTAAATTAGCTACCTTCAATGGTAGTATGAAGGAGGGAGACATGGAGAACTAGATTGAGAGGATGGAAACAATCTTTGAGGTAACTTCATGTTACTATAAGTAGAAAGTAGTGTTAGCCACCATGCAGCTGATAGAAGATGCTAGGCATTGTTCACATTCTGTGGGACCCTCTAATGGTAGTTGGTTTAATTAGGAGCAATTCAAAGAAAGATCCTTTGACTACTATTTTCCTATGGCATTTTAATATGAAAAGGAGGTTGAGTTTTATGCTTTCCAGCAAGGGGATATGGATGAGCAAGCTTTTATAAAGAAGTTCAATCAACTCTCAAAATTTGTGACCTTTTTATATGAGTAGGATGATAGTAAGTGGAAGACAAAAAGGTTGATCAAAAAGATGCGCCCAAAGAATAAAAGGTAGATAGCCTTACTAAGAAAGGCTACTTACAAAGAAATATATATAGACTTTGTATATCTATAAGATAGGATCAAGAGGCTAATTCTAAGAAAAGAAGGGATAATTATGGGAGATTCTTTACTCCATTAGGCTCGATTAGAGGAATATCAGAGAGGAGTAGTTCTAGTACTAATGGTTTTAGATTCTCAAGTAGGAGTGTTTTCAATAGAGGATCATAATTTCAGAGAGTTATTGGCCAAAGTAGGAGATTTAGTAGAGCAAGAGATTTTAGAGCTCTATAGTAGTTGAGTCAGACCATTACTAGCCCTACATCTTGTGTGAGCACTACACACTCACTTGTTTGTGCAAACTGTAGGAAGAATCATGCTAGAAGATGTTAGGCATGTTACATTTGTGGTGACATGGGCCATTTTATGAAGGATTTCCTGAAGAATTAGAAAGAAGCTTCTAAGCAATGACTAAAAGTGTCAAGTCGAGTGACACAGTTTCCTAAGAGGAGGCTCAAATAACACTGAATTAGATTACATGTATAATTTCTATTCACAAGCAAAGAGTTGAGACTTTATTTGACTCTGAAGCCACCCATTCCTTTATATCGCATGATTGTGTAAAGAAGCTAGAATTTCTTGTGCATGAATTACCTTATATAGTTAAGGTGTCTACACTATCTGGGTTATTGGATAAGACCAATAAGGTATGTAAGGGAATTGAGTTGTGCTTTAAGGGCAGGACTTCTATGATTGATATGATCTTGATTCTTATACAATGATTAGATATGATCATTGGTATAGACTAGTTATAAGGGAATAATGCTATTTTGGATTGTGCTAAAAAATAGTGTTACTATTAGTTCATGTGATGCTCATTATGACTTCCACAATAACTACAAGTCAGCCAAATTTATTGTTAGTAGTGTAGGTTGAAAGGTAGGTTTCTGAAGGTTATCAAGCCTATGCAGTTTTCTTTGTAGTGGAAGGCTGTGGTAATGATAATGTTAATAAGATTCAAGTTGTAAGTAAGTTTCTAGAGGTATTTCCAAATGAGATTTTGAGTTTGCAATCGAAGTAAAAAGTGGAGTTTTCTATTAATTTAGTACTTGGTACTGAGCCTATTTTAAAAGCTTCATATTGAATGGTTCCTTTAAAATTGGTAGAACTTAAGAAATAACTCGAGGATTTTCTAGACAAGGCCTTTATATGCCTTAGTGTGGTTTCATGGGATTTACCAATCCTGTTTGTGACAAAGAAGGATGGCAGCCTATGGTTATGTATTGATTACAAATAGTTGAACATGGTGACAGTGAAGAATAAATACCCGCTTTCAAGGATTGATGATTTGTTAGATTAGTTAATGGGAGCCTCAATGTTTTCTAAAATTGATATGTGATTTGGGCACTATCAGTTAAAGGTGAATGCAAAGGATGTACCTAAGATAGCGTTTGATACTTAATACGGTCACTTTGATTTTTTGGTGATGCCGTTCAAGTTGATGAATGCAATTGCACTTTTCATAGACTACATGAACTATATATTTCGTCCCTTCTTAGATTAGTTTGTTGTTGTGTTCTTAGATGATAAACTAATATATTTTAAGGACGAGGAAGAGCACACAAAGCATTTTAGGACTATGCTAAGGATTTTGAGAGATAATCACTTGTATGCCAAGCTAAGTAAATGTGAATTTTGGATAAAAGAAGTACGAGATCTAGGACATGTGGTATTAGCTAAGGCAATTTTGCTAGATCCTCATAAAGTAGACATAGTTTTGCAATGGGAAAGACCAGGTTCAATAACTGAGGTGTGAAGTTTTTTGGGTTTGGTTGGGTATTATGAAATGTTTATTTAAGGATTTTCACATATTGCTATTCCTTTAACTTGATTAATGAGAAAGGATCAACCTTTTCTTTAGGATGATCAATGCAAAGTTGCTTTTATGAAGCTTAAGGAGAAATTAACCTTGGCACCGATGTTGATTATTCCTAGTTTGTGGTTTCCTTATAAGGTTTATACAAATACATTTTTGAAAGGCCTAGGGAGTGTGTTAATGTAAGGAGACTAAGTGGTCGTATATGTGTCCAAGCAGTTATGTCCTCATAAGGAGAGTTATCTTATGCATGACTTGGAGTTAGTAGCAATAGTGTTTGCTCTTAAGATTTAGTGATATTATCTTTATAGTGTAGATTTTAATGTACATAGTGATCACAAGAGTTTAAAATATCTTATGGATCAGAAAGAGCTCAATATCTGGCAGAGGCAATGGATAGTATTCTTGAAGGATTATAACTTTAAGTTTAAGTACCATCTAGGGAAAGCCAACATAGTAGCTGATGCTTTAAGTTAAAAATTATTACATATGGCTAGGTTTATGGTTTAAGAACATCAGTTATTGTTGCCTTTGCTGGAGGTACAGCTTGAGACATCAGATTATACTTTGAATATAATTCACTCGACCATGATTTCTAATGAATTTTGGAAAGAGATATGAGAAGCACAAAAGGAGGATAAGTTCTTGTCAAGTATTCAAGAAGATATAAAAGTAGGTCGTACCACTCTTTTCTGGTTCAGTGACGATGAGTTCATCTTGTACAAGGACAAAATCTGTATACTTGCGAGTAAATAGAGCAGAAGGAGACTCTTGAAAGAAGCTCATTGTAGTAGGTATGCGATACATCCTAGAGTGACTAAGATGTATTATGACATGAAGAAGCATTATTGGTGGCAAGATATAACATGAGATGTTGCAGAGTTTGTGAGCTTGTGTCTCACATGTCAAATGGTAAAAATTGACCATCAGAGACTGTCTGGTATCTTCAACCTATAGAGATTCCCTAGTAGAAGTAGGACAATATATCAATGATCTTCGTGTGTGGTCTACTGAGAACTCAGTCTGGATATGACTCGATGTAGATAGTTATAGATCATTTGACGATTTCAGTGCACTTTGTGCTAGTTAAGACCATATGTAATGTAGAAAAATATACAGAGATATATATGAAAGAGGTAGTCAGACTACATGGTGTACCTAAGGATATGGTCTCATATCGAGATCCCCAGTTTACTTCAAGGTTTTAGTAAGCATTACAGAAGGTTATGGGTACTGAGTTAAGGTTTAATACCTCTTATCACCCACAAAACTGATGGGCAGACTGAGCATACGATACAGACTTTAAAAGATATGCTTTGATCGTGTATCCTTGAATGGAGAGGCAGTTGGGACAACCATTTGCCTTTAGCTGAGTTCATCTACAATAACAGCTGCTATTTGAGTATTCAGATGGCACTATAAGAGGAATTGTATGGGAGAAAGTGTAGATATCCCTTATGTTAGGTTGAATTGAGTAAGTGTGATTAGTTTGGATATTGTAGATCAAACCACATAGAAGATCTGAGTTGTTCGACAGAGCTTCTTATTGCCCAGAGCTGTCAAAAGAGTTATGCTGATAGGTAGCATCAACCATTGGAGTTTGAAGTCAGAGATTATATGTTTCTCTAAGTTTCTTCATTGACTAGTATTGGTAGGACTATATGAGCTAACAAGTTATTGCCTCGTTATATGACACCGTACTAAATACTAAGCAGAGTAGGTCCTATGGCTTATAGAATTGCTTTACCTTCGCCCTTATTCGAGATACATGATGTGTTTCATGTGTCACAATTGAAAGCACATCAACTGAATCCATCACATGTGATTGAGCTTGAGGAAGTAGAGCTTTAAGAGAATCTCACTTATCGAGCTAAACCAAATTGGATAGTGAATGTTAAGGAAAAGCACTTGTGTAATAAGACTATCTGATTACTAAAAGTGTTTTAGCAAAAAAAATGGCTCTTGGTGACATGACGTGGGAAACAGAAGAGAGCATAAAGTGGAAATATCCCCATTTATTTCTTTAAGGTGAGTTATAACTGTGTTTGAATGTTA